ATATTGCTTTTTATTTCCATTGTATTCTCACCATATGATTTAATACATTTATACTCCATTTTTCAATTGCACTAATGGAATGTTATTAGCATACTACATATGTATATGTCTCAGTTTATCAATACATAGCCATAAGTAATGATATTCTGTGAAATAGAATCCATTTTTGCAGGGAATAAGTGAAAGACAGGCCTAATTAGTATTATCCAGTCAAAAGTGATTAAACAGTTTCTGATATGCAAATCGAGGGATTACATCATCTGATAGTGACTTAAGAGCTTTGTACTGAGTGAATCTGTGAAGTGGCGAATCATCAACCGTTTAGAAGAAGCCGTGCAGACAGTCGTGGAAACAGTGAGAGGTTTGACTATATCAAGACAGACAGTCTCTGTGTTATGGAAAGAATTTCAGAACTCTGGTACTCTTGTAAGAAAGTCTAGACAAAATTGTAAATGAAAAACAACTGCTTTTCAAGATTAGTATATGGCAATTACTGTCCATTGCAACAGGAAGTCTTCTGCTCGGGAGTTAAGTTCAAGGCTTGTAACCGAGACTGGATTGTTATATCACTATAAATTATATACAGAATGGTTAATGAATAAAGCATTTCTGCCAGAAAGACAAGGGTATGTGCTTCCCTATCTTTTCAACTAAAGAACTTTCAAAGAACACCAGAACTGGAGTGAACACCAATGGTCGCATGGTCTCGTTACTGATGAGTCAAGGTTTTTAGTTTAACATGTGATTATAATTGTGTTTACATCTAGAGGGAATCGGGAAAGCAAAACCTTCTTTCAAAAATTATGGAATGTGACTGTTTTGTTCATGCTGGTGTGATGATATGGAGGGAAATAATGATCGATGCAGGGATGCCTCTGCATGTTTTCAACAGCGGCTGATGTGTAGTTGGCTAGAGATATCGAAACAAGATATTAGAACCTTATGTAAAACTTATCAGAAGACATATAGGTCTGACTTTTAATTTTTGGATGATAATGCTTGTCCACGTCAAGCAAGCCTTGTTGATGAATTTCTTGAAAGGGAAGACATTGAGTAAATATGTGGCCCCCAAAATATCTTGTTCTTATCCTGATGCATAACTTACTGGATTACCCTGAAAAAGTAGTAGCATTGTGACATCCTCCTGCTAGAAATGTAAATGCTCTGAACACTGCATTGCTGAAGGAGTGGAATTCTTCAAATTATGGTTAGCATCATTATTTCCAACATTAAAACTGTGCTATATGTGTACAAGTCAGGGGAGGTCATATTTTGTATTAAATTCTTAAGTTGTAGTTATTTTGAGTTATTCTTTCCTTTCATTCAGGATTGTAACACATTATTATCATTTTTATAATTTAATAATTCTGTTATGTTCTGAAAATTATCTTTTTTATACTGTCTATAAAACTCTTAACACAATTGAATTTGGAATAAGTTTAGTAAGTAACATCGACAACAAACTTCCATATGAATTCAATTCAGCACCAAAAGTTTGCAAACCACATACTTGAATTTCTGTTGTATCATTTACCTACAGTAATTGTTTGAAAAGGGAGGCCAGTTTTACAGCATTTATATTTAATAAATGATTAATATGGAATCTTACAATAATTATTTTTACCTATAAGCAGTTTCCTGATACTGATAATTTTTGAATATTACATAAGGCTGGTTCTTATAAGAAAGTTTTAAGATAATTACATTTATACTTTACTTAAGCGTTCATTTTTGTGGATAACATTCTCAAACAATGCTCAAACTTTCTGAAATTTGTCAAAAATCACCCTCAAAAGATTCTATATACTGTTGGGTAAAGTTGAGTCTCTGTGGTTCATTATTCAAGATAAATGAAGAATTACTCTTTAATGACAAATCCTGTTACAATTTTGGAGATAATTCTTGACTTTTATTTTTACACAAATAATGAAATCTTTGTATTCCTGTTTATTGACATACTTCGAGACCCAACACATCAAGAATTAAATTCTCAATTTATATATGTAACTTAAATATCTAATCTACTTTTTTCTGTAGATTTATCTCGTACGCTTCTAATGATTTTATATATAAGATATCTTACTCTAATAATTTAGATTGCCTGTTAATTACTTGAGTTGTTAATCTTAAGCTTTTGCATTTCACTTTTGCCTTATTTAAAGCTTTCTCAGTATTTTCATCCTTGATAATAACTAACACTATTATTCTATACATGTATACTCTACACTCTTAATACTAACATAAATAAGGATATACATCAATGCAATCCAATGCATGAACATCCTGCTTTTGAGCTGTGACTTGTTCTGTCTGGTGTGACTCATCAGAATTCACACATTCAATTATTTATTTTAGTTTATTAATGAAATTTATAATCTACATATGTACAACTAGCGGTATGCTAGGTAACCATTCTTCAAAAGCAACACTTGGCATTGCATTTACTATGCTTTACTTTATTTCTTTCTGATGCTTTTGACAGCATGAAATCTCAAACGGCTGCGGCTGCCGTTTCACTGTGCCATCGTCTGCAAATTACACATATTTCTCTAAAACAAGCAAGGAATTTCACAATGTCGGGGGCGAATGCAGTCAGCCTTTTATTTAGCTGTTAAGTATTTACTTTCGGTTTATGAATATAAAAAACGACTTTTATTGAAGTTTTGGTATTTATCAACATTTTCCACAGTTTTCGTTGTTTAATTTATTAAAAAAATCATCTAAATCTAGAAAAATGTATATATTTATGTTTTGAATATTGAAAAGGAGAGAGGATATTGTAATAGTGTCAAAAGAGGAGCATGGAGCAAAAAAGGTTGAGAACCTCTGATCTGGGCTACTTAAATAGCCTTTTGTATATTAATGAATAGGTAATATGTATGTTAATACTACTGCTATGAATAATTGAGTACAAATATTCTGCATTTCAAGAATACAGTTCACGTGCATTCAAATTTGAAACTGAAAATTACCCCTTTCTTTTTACTCACAACTTCAAGGAGAACGAGCAGCATGGATGAAAAGTCAAGCATTATTTATAAGAATATTCTTTTTTGAGTTGTGATTCATTGTGCACAAAAAAGGAGGGCAGTTCTATATGTCCCGTTTTACAGTGCCGATTACATATACATTTTTCGTGTCATTTTCCAAATTTTATAAGTTGTAATTCAAAAATGTTTTTGAAAATATACAAAAAGTATACATTTTTAGAAACAAATCAGAGAATAATAGCAAATTTCATTTTGATAGACCCTAAATTTCGAATGTTGAAAGAAGGACAAGTAAGTTTAATTATAAAAAAAGAAATAATAGTGTAAATGTATACCAAATTCAATTAACATTGGGGAGCTACAATTTTGAGAGTTAATGTTTTAAAAACTATTTATGCTATTTTAACAAAACTTGGCATTTTGTTATAATTTGAGTTGTACAATCGAAATATGGGGGGGGGATCAGTATGTCATTTTAGAAAAAGTCCAATTTTTGTGTCAGAATATATACCTGTTAGGACAATGCTATATGTAAATCTAATACATATCCTGAGTTGACATGAAAAATACAAGTTAAATTTTAACCATCAGTTCAATAGAAAGGAAGATTAAGAACTGTACCCTTTTTTAGTGCAAGGTGTACATGAGGATATGCATCGATGTAATCTAATGCATACTTAACATTCCACTTGAGCTGTTAAATGTTTTCTGGTGTGATTTGTCAGAAGGACCCCATTCTGTTGTTTCTTATATTTAAGGATAGAATTCATAGTATATGTGCGTACAACCAGCTGCATGCTGGGAGATCATTTTTCAAAAGTAACAAACAAATCATTGCATTAATTTCACACACTCTCACACTTCTCATTTTACACCCTTTAATGGCAGCATTTTTAAAGTGCCGTCTGTTGATGGATTATAATTTATGTAGCTTAGATCCTAAACTGTAAAAATGCATTATGGTAAGTTTTCATGTGTTTTTAAACTTTAATCATCTAGCATAGTTGTAATATTAATGATTTTAATCATCTTCTTTTCCTTTTAACCCTTTGAGGAGGACATTGAAAAATTTTCAGCATTTAATGAAATTAATTGATAACTATTACCTTTGAGCTTCACAAATGTGAATTTAAAAAACATTTGATTGCATCTGGCATGAGGGGCTGATCTCCAAATTAATTTGTCTAAATTTCAGCAGGGAACTGCTGCATTCGTTCCTGACCACCCGAACTTTCCAAGTCTCCGTCGGAAAAAAATGCATTATGTTAAGTTTTCATGTGTTTTTAAACTACAATCATGTAGCATAGTTATAGTCCCATATTAATGATTTTAATCTTTTTCTTTTTTTTTTTTTTTTTTTTTTTTTTTTTTTTTTTTTTTTTTTTTTTTTTTTTTTTTTTGTGTGTGTGTGTGTGTGTGTGTGTGTGTGTGTGTATGTGTGAGAGAGAGAGAGAGAAGATACACATTCTTTTGCGATTATAATTAGACTTCGTATGATTGATAGTGTGAAATCATTCATTACACCCTAGCAATCAGATAATATGTAGGAACGTTTTAACTCTAAGATCACATTACACTCTAGCAATCAAAAAACACATCGGAATGTTTTAGCTCTAAGAGGGTATTGGTTTCGGTAACACATGTTAAATTATATAAAAAATCAACCTTTAATACTGATTTCTGTCAATAGTAGTGTTTTTACAAATAAAAGTGTATGTAAATAAAAAATTCATAAGTGAAACCTGGGTAACATGCATTTTTTTATAGAGTTAGCAAGAATACTTGAAATTTGCTATCTTTGTTTGTCCAAAGTTTATCCAATACAGAGAAAAGGCTCTGTTTAAGGGTGTAAATCTCCAAAGGGGGTGTATAGCAATTTTATTATTTTTATGATTAGGCTGAATTTTTAAGTAATTTTAAAATCTTTTATGTGCTAAAAATAATGTAAGCTTTTTTTAAAAAAAAAAATTTGGATCTACCAAGTGTATTTTATTAATTATTTTATTTCAGATTCTTTTGATGATAGATTTTTGCTGACTACACCATTAACAGTTTTTGCGCAGCATGAAGGTTGGGAATGGGCACGCAAGAATGTATTGGAAAAATATGTGTATCCCTCAATAGACCATTATAGGCATAAAGAATCTAATAAAGAGGCATTTGCTTTGTTATGTGAGCTGTATGGTAAGCATAATATAACTTCTTGATTGTTATGATTGCATATGTTGTACCAAGTAAAAAAGGTGCTAGTCTGTTTACTAAGTTGAATGTAATTGCTTATTTTTGGAAATTGCAAACTATTTGAACTTTCATTGTATTTAAACAAATATGTGGATTCACATTCAACATATAGAGTAATAGGTATATAGCATTTGAATAATATATATCAAAAACCCCTTTATTCCTCATTTTAATTTGGGTATTTTCCCTCTCTGTTCTTTTTCTGGGCTGCGTCAGTTCTAGATAAATCCTCATCATATGACTTTTACATAATTAATGATGATGTGGCCAATCTGGAGCTTAAAATTCTTGATCCAAAACCTTTCTCTTAATAAGCTGCCATATTAATAACTACACGCTACGCATTGGAGGGAAATGTTTGTGGAGGACTTTCTAAGGGAACTCACTTATGTACATGTTACACATGGGGGGAAACCGTGAAAACGCCTATGCAACCAACCTGTTCGTGGGATTCGAACCTCAGACCAAACTATCTGTTTTCAGCAATTTTACTGCTTGGTTGCTGGTGGGCCCATGATAATTGATGAAAAAATAAAGTTCGTTGGAAAAGCTGCAACAAAGCATGGCACTTATTATTCATTTATTCAATAGTTCCTTTTCATGTTGATGTAATCATGATTTATAAAATTTACAGCATAACTACTAAAAGTAATATATAAATAAATAAAAAATAAACAAATGTCTTACCTTGAACTTTCAAAACAAAGTCTGCTGATTTCTAGTAGATATTATTTTAATGGGTTGGGTAAACTTTGTATATCACCATAAATTATCATATTTTAAAAAAATCAATGTGTAAATTAAATAATCAAAGAGAATTTTATAACTAAAATAAACTACACATATTTATACAAAACCTTCAAAATCTGACTCATCAATGTCAGAATTAACCCTTTGAGGTTCGGTGCATAAAAAACATTTTTTTGGAAAATATAATTTTACACATAGATAATTAGCCCATAACACAATGTTATTTAATGAAAAAAAGGGGGGAAGGTAAACTTTTAAGGTAATTCATGACGTGGTTTTATACCTCTTGTCCCACCGGGCATCTAGAGCAGTAAAATGTCTCCTAACATGCTTATCTAAAGTGCTAGTTTTAGCAACCAAATGAAAATGCAAGATATAAAAAACGTTTCTGAATAAATATCTAGAAAATATTGATCATATTCGTAAAATATTTTTTTAAAAAAAACATTACATAATTAAAAAAATTCCTTTCTGTATGACTTTTTAGATATTTTTTAATGATTTCATAATAGATTTTGAAACAGAGAAGATTTTCGTTCCAGTACTTTATTTGTTACAGGTTTGAAAAAGAAAGTATTTAGAAGGCCATCATGTTTATTTACATTTCATCTCTCTTTCCTTTACTTAGAATATTTTTCTGTGGTGAATCATACTCGCATTTCCATTCAGTATTCAATGACATTTCATGTTACAGAGTTATATTTGTGATGTTGCCATGGAAACATCGTAAGAAGTTTTGTGAGTTCTGTGCATGCCCACCTTTGATGAGCTGCGGATGGAGGAGAGAATGGTGTGCATGCAACAGCAGTTCCTTTTTCTCATCTGAATGTTATTAATGATGTGTTAAAATAAAGTTTATATATTTTATACTTGTGTCTTGCCTCACCATGGAACCTCTACGGAACTAAACAAAACATCATAAACAATGGATGAAATATCAGCAGTGAAAATACCTCCTTTCCATCCTTCTGATCCATCTCTGTGGTTCACGATGGTGGAATCTACTTTTGAATTAGTGGTTCCAAAATCATTTTTAGCAGCTAAAGAAGCTCTTACAAAAGCTACCCTCTTAAGACATCCAATTCCTGGTGCTCAACTCAGTCTGGACCGATGCATCTGATGTTGCTATTGGCAGCTCTCTCATGCAACTCCAAAATGGTCAGTGGAAGCCAATAGCATTCCTTTCTTTAAAATTGAATAACAGTCAACGGAAATGGTCTACATATGACCGCGAACTTCTGGCAATATATCAGGAAATTTTGGCACATGTTAGAAGGTCGCAACTTCATCATATTTACCGACCAAAAACCACTAACATTCGCTTTCAGACAAAAAGCAGAAAAGTGCTCTTCTCAACAAATGAGACACCTAGACTATATCTCTCAATTTTCCACTGATATACTCTATGTTAAAGGTACGGAAAATGTTATTGCTGACACATTCTCCCGAGTAGAAGTAGATTCTGTTTCTCACTCACCTATTCTGGATTTCAAACAATTAGCCTCAGCACAACTCACAGACCATGAATTACAACAATTACTAACTTCTAAATCTTCTTCTTTGAAGCTCTCCAAACAGTATTTTCCGCTTGAAGATATTTATCTCTATTGTGACTCCACAACCAATGTCCCTCGTTCTTTCATTCTCTTTTCATTTAGACCTATCATCTTCCAAAGTATTCACAACCTTTTGCATCCAGGTATATCTGCCACTTCAAAATTGATACGCAGACGTTATGTTTCTTCAAAATTGATACGCAGACGTTATGTTTGGCCTAACATGCACACTTTTATTAAAAACTCCATTAAGGCTTGTGAAAAATGTCAACGTTCCAAAATACACAAGCATACGAAATCACACATTTCTACATTTTTACTTCCTGATACCAGATTTTCTCATATTCACATAGATTTTATTGGCCCATTACCAATTTCTGAAGGTTATCAGTATTGCTTGACCATAATCAATCGCTTCACGTGATGGCTGAAAGTAAATCCCACATCTGATATGTCAGCTGAAACAACTTGTAAAGCTCTAATTAGTGGATGGATAGCTCGTTTTGGACGCCCTTGCACTATCACTACTGACCAGGGTCGGAACTTTGAATCGCATCTTTTCAGGGAGTTCACAAACCTGCTGGGCACTCATCGTATTCGTACTACTGCCTATAGACCTCAATCAAATGGAATCATTGAATGTTTCCATTGCCAACTGAAAAACAGCATAAAATCGCAAAAGAATCCTCACTGGACAGAATTGTTACCTCTTATATTTTTGGGTATTAGATCTTCCGTCAAAGACGACATCCAAGCAACTTGTTCTAAGTTAGTCTACGGTACTACCTTAAGACTGCCTTCGGATATTTTGTGCTCAGATCATCTTTCTCCACCATCCCCGACACCAACATATATAGATCGTTTATGTGATCACCGCAACATCAAAACACTGTTCAGAGCCTATCCACATCCATCCATCTTTAAAAACGTGTTCTCATGTTTATTTGAGAATTGACTCAGTCAAGCCTCCTCTTCAACAACCATACTGAGCTCCTCATCCATCATTGAGTGATATGATAAAACCTTTATCATCTCTGTGCACGGTAAAAATCAGACTGTTTCAATTAACTCATCCTTAATTAATCAACTCATCAATTAATCCTGCATTTTTCATTAGTGATAAAACCTTTGTTCCTAACACTAAAACCTTCCAATAAGACAGACACGGTGAAACCTACCCTGTCAAATGTTCCGAAAACTATCACAAAATCCGGACGACATGTCAAATTCCCTCAACATCTGTCTACCACCTACTATATATAACTTATATATATTGTTTTTTATTCAATATTTCATTATGCAGTTTAATTTATTATGTGTTTTATATTGTACCTTTTACCTTCACATTTATCATTGTATAATATAAATTCTTTTTTTTTTTTTTTTTTTTTTTTTTTGTGTGTGTGTGTGTGTGTGTGTGTATGTATGTATCGTTCAGTCTCCCTTACTGGGGGATACTCTGTGGTGTTGCTATGGAAACACTGTACGAAATTTTGTGAGTTCTGATACTCTGTGGTGTTGCTATGGAAACACCGTACGACGTTTTGTGAGTTCTGATATTCTGTGGTGTTGCCATGGAAACACCATACGAAGTTTTGTGAGTTCTGTGCATGCTTGCCTGTGATGAGCTGCGGATGGAAGAGAGAATGGCATGCATGCAACGGCAGTTCCTTTTTCTCATCCGAATGTTATTATTGATGTGTTAAATAAAGTTTATATATTTTATACTTGTGTCTTGCCTTACCATAATACCTCTACATATTTTCATTTCTTCTAATACTAAATTTTTTTTCAAGTTCTAACATTATTGCAATATATTAAAAAATATAAATTTGCATTATTGACATATGAAACAAACATGATACTTGAATTAAAAAATATTTCAACGGTGTTGCCATCTAAAAGCAGCAATTCCTACATGCGGGGTGGGACGTATTTAGTCCCACCTTTTAATTTCAACCATTCTTTATTAATATATATGAATTCAAATACTAAATTTTATTAGAAAAGAAAACTTTCACATAAAAATATTCATTCTAACACCAAAAGTTGTTGTTCAGATGATTTAAATTACATTAAAAATTAAGGGGGGAATAAAAATAAATAAAACTGCTTCAAAATTAGACCTACAAAGAATTTTTGGTACTTTTCCGTTTTACCGGCACATGCGATAAAGTTGCCAATAATGGTACAATTGGTGCCAAACGGAATATACTCGCTGGTAACCTTTTACGCCTCATTTTCAAAGCAAGTCGCCACTATTTCTTATCAGATTGATCGTTTCTTTCAATACTGGCGTACAATTACATAGGATTTTTACCAGGTAGTTCAATTTTATGCCCTAAGGCCATTCGCGGTAATTAAGCCAATTAGGATGAAATGACCGCTTACCCAAAAGCGAAAGTAAAGAAAAGGCAAAGTCAAGGGCTAAATTCATCGATTCTAATGAGAATGCATTAAAGAAGTAAAGCACTGCGGTTTTACATAATTTCTGAGTAAGCTATTCGTATGAATTGAAATAATTCATGAATTTTAAACTTCCAAATTCCAAACTAAGATTAAACTTCAAATTAATGTAATTTCTAAATAATTTTTATAATGCACAGGGAAAAGTAAGTTGTCATATATCGTAGAAAAGGGAGAACATCTGCCTTTTTAAATATCAATGCTAAAACCATGTCTTGATTTTTTTTTTAAAAAAGAGGTTATAATATCTTATATAAATCTTTCTCATTATGTTATAATAAATTTCTCTGCAGATATTGCTGAAGAAAAGAATGCTAACCAACTGATATTGAACTTTCCTCTTAAAATTCATACATTTTTATGCTTTGGTATGCGAGTCCAGTTATATAGAGTTAGCTTTAAATGCCTAAAAATGTTTTTATAACATCATTTCTAGTGCAAATACTATTCCTTGTGCTGTATGGTTGTTAATTTTGTGTTTGTAGTTACTGTTAGGAAGAGGATTTATTTTAATTTATTAAAACATATGTACATCTTAAAAATTATACAGTCAAAAGTCGTTAATCTGGACTCGTCGGGACTTCAGCGATTCCGGATTATAGATCATCAGTTTAAATCTAGTAAGATGGCATGCAGAAATTACAAAATTAAAAATATGAAACCGTAATTTATGAAATAAAGAACAATTATGATCTAAAGGGTATCAAAATCTACAAAAAGAAAAATCTTAATATTTATTTGTTTACTTTATTAAACATTTCTTTCAATGTAAGTTGCTTCGTTTCATGTGATAATACTTTCTCTTTAATTCTATTAAACAGACATAATTCCTTGTTTAGTTACAAAGTTCCGCTGTTCAAGTCCTGTAATTGCTGTGTTGAGAATAATTTGTCAATCAAAATGTTTTCGTTTTCAATAACCTGTGGGTCACTTTCTTCACTATCGGAAGCGAATTATAATGACGAGGAACTTGATTTAAATCATATCAAAGACAGAGTACATCGAGATGAAATACTACACTTAGTAAGGAATTATAACCCAAATAAAATAAAAACATCTGCCCTGAAGATAAGGATAGTGCTGACAGATCAACTTCCAATCCGCCGCGTGAAATTGATAAACAGATTTCGGATTGCAAAACATACTTTCGCTTTGTAGATACAAATTACATATTAGTAAATATATATTGGAAATTCTATTTGACATAATCGAAAGTTCAAGCTTACTTTTATGAAATTGCTCTAACAGTCCGCAAAAAATAATAAGCCGGATCCAATTTGAAGATTAAGGAACAACGCAATCTGCAACATTAACTGAATTAAATAATTTTTGCTTAGATTATACCATCCGTTACACATTAAACGCGCATGCGCAAAGACATACTCGCAGCCGTAAAGGTCTTACGCGCACTCGTAAACGCCTGACGCATGCGCAGAAAGTTTGTAGCTTTGAGGTCCGGATTATGGGTGTCCGAATTAACGACTTTTGACTGTATTAGAATTTTTTTTTTTCCTATTACAGTGAGCTATGTGAGTTATAACCAAGCATGCCATTCCACTAATAACACCATAATTCTGTTGCATGCATTAGCAATAACAATGAAACTTAAATAAGTTTATACTGAATTAAAAAAATAATAATTATTATTGTCTACAATATAATGTTAATGTTTATTTGTGTTAGATTTGTCTTTGGAATTTTTTCATTTGTGTTAAATTTATGCCATACAAAATTATTTTAATTTTGTATGGCATAAATCACACCTGTCTAATGTAGTTTTTAAGAAGCAAATATGTTTCTAATATATTGCAATAAAAAGCTTTAAAAAATTAGCTATATTTCTGAGCTATTCCTTCATAGCATTATGATGCAAACCATCAGATTCTCATGTCCCACCTTGCATATTAACCAGAACATGCAACTTATCAGCGTAGGTATTTGTATTTTTGGAATTACTTTTGACAAGGAAAACCAGTGGCAGTTGTTACTTATGTATATAATGTTTTGTTCTTCCTTTACTATTTACAAGTGTTGCTATTAATAAAAATTTTTCCAGAGCTAGAGTAGCGATTAATTAAAAAGTTACATTTGTGTATCTGACCTAAAAAGAACGTTTGAATTATGTTACATTATTGTGCTTATGATCTCTTTTTTGCTCATATTATTGCAAGGAAATTTAAGCATATTATATGTACACTGATGCTAGATTAGCATAATAAATATAATTTTACATTTTTTAAAAAATATATACAATATTGATTCACTTTTGCACATTTATTTAGTTGAATATTATTTAAATTTGCATGCACTTTTTGCTTAAATATTTTTCTTGGTTTTATAGGTGATATTTGTCTGTCAGCCCCAGATGTCAAACCTTGCTTTAAATTTTTGTGTAATATGTTCATTCATTCTGATCATCATGGTAAGTTGGTGATGATATGTGTTTGGAATAATTTTTATTGTACAAATAATTTAATATTTTCGTCAGCACTTTCAGTTTTTAGTCAAACTAAAATGTAGTCAATTTTATAAGGTGAAATTTTTAAATATAATTAAAGGTGGATGTGGTGGGTGCTTTAATTAAGATGTACCAATAATTATTTGGGGGGGGACTTATTTTATTTACAGCTGACTCATCTTAGATTTCAAACTGTGATTTATTTATGCATAGTAAAGACACATGTTATACATAGTCAGACTGCAAGCTATTAATCTTGTAAATGCAGCTAGCTTTTTATCAAATAGTAGTTTTATTTTTGAAATATAATTAAGACATGAAATAGATGTTTTTTTTTTTTTTTTTTTTTTTTTTTTTTTAAGAAGAAATTTAATCTTTACATTATTATGTATATAATAATTTTAAAAACACTTTCAAATTGTTTGTCATGCACTAATAATCAAAGTGCAGTTTTTCTCCTACTTGACAAAAGTACTGCATTCTTCTAAAATCTTTCATAAGAACAAATGATGTGAAGCAAAAGAGCAGTTACAACCCTCTTCTGGAGGAAAAGGTTTTGAGCATTTCCTGAGTTTTCTGATAACAGGGTTCCTACAGTCCGTAAGAGACCTTAAATTTTTTGGAATTGATTTTTGGTCCTTAAATGTACTTAATTTTGGCCCCAATCATCAGAAGGTCCTTAATTTTAATCATCAGAAATTTCTGTCTATTTTTATGACTGCCATTTTGAATGTGAATTAGCATTTTGGAAGAATATTTTTGGCAATTCATTGACGTGTATGGTTATCTTTTGAATGGGTTCATGGGTTATAATTTGTTTCTATTTCTAATATAAATGATGGGATACTCGAGTTTCTAAGCAAGAAATCAAACATAAGCATTTCGAAATTAATTTTTTTGTAAAAAAGAGCTCTTCAACAACTTTTTGCATTTGGGGATGGGAATTCTTTTATAAAATGGCTCTAAATTTGGCAATTTTAAGATCAGTTTCTATAGAAAATTTTTAATTCTGAGATCTCAAAATTTTTCGACCATTTTTTTAAAAAAATATTGTAACATTGATAAAATTTCATTAAAAGAATGGTAATATATTGAAATTATGTTTAAAAAACATTAAAATAAAACATTTTTATTTTTCGCTGTCATATTATAAAGTTTCACTTTGGCAACTTATACAATATTTTGAATCTGAAAAATAAACAAGGTATAGTGCTATAAAGCACAACTTATGAAACAGCTCTTAATAAAAGCAAATTTAGCTAAGTAATTAATTAAAAGGTCTTCTATTTAATTTTTTTTCATAGTAAGAGTTTTCATCATGTATTGTCTCAGAATATTCAAAATTCTCTGAATATGCATCAGTTTTCTTTATAAAATTAATTTTACACTTTTTTCCCCACCTTTTTTTTTTTTTTCCAAAAATATTTCTTGCTTTTTGCTGTTACAGAATTGGTAGGGATAAGTTTTCTTTAGGATTTTAGACATTGCAAGTTGGAATGTTTAAAAGAATTTGAAGGCAAGATTTATAGACCCACGATTCTAGAAGATTCGAGAAATATGTGACAAAATGAAAAATGTCTCTATAGTATCAACACGTAATGGATGTATTTTACAGAAAGTATGCAATGAATTTCTTACTTTTTGGAGAATGTCTGGAAGAACAATGAAAACATAAAATTTTTTTGATACTAGAATCTTTTTCTTAACATGTTTATCTTCCCTTTAATTTCTCTACTTTTCACTAGACACAAGCATGGATAATATTAAAAATGCTTCTAACCTTATCACATGGGCAGGCATTTTGGAAAGGGATTTTTTTTATTAATAAAGAAATTGAAAACTTAGAATTTAAAAGATTATCTAATGTGTCTTAATGCATCATACACATTTTCCCCACCTGATACAATCTCTGTGGATCATAAATTCTGCTTCCACCAGCCTTTACCACATATTTTCATATTTTTTTTAATGTTCATATTCTGAGAGAAATAAAATTAGCCGCTTTTTCTATACATTCTAATTGCATTTAGTGTTTTTTAGAATAACTGAAATCCTTAATTAAGTCCAAAAATTCTAAAATGAAAAGGAAACATGTTGAAGAAAGAAACTGAATGTATAAAGAAAATTATTCTTCAAAGATATGTGCACTTATTACAGTCAAAAGTCGTTAATCCGGACTCGTCGGGACTTCGGCGTTTCCGGATTATCGATTTTTCCGGATTATAGATGATCAGTTTAAATCTCGTAAGATGGCATGCAGAAATTCCAAAATTAAAAATATGAAACCGTAATTTATGAAATAAAGAACAATTATGATCTAAAGGGTATCAAAATTTGCAAAAAGAAAAAAGCTTAATATTTATTTTGTTTACTTTATTAAACATTTCTTTCAATGTAAGTTGTTTAAGTTTTGCTTCGTTTCATATGATAATACTTTCTCTTTAATTCTATTAAGCAGACATAATTTCTTGTTCAGTTACAAAGTTCCGCCGTTCAAGTCCTATAATGCTGTGTCAAGAACACCGACTAATTTGTCAATCGAAATTTTTTTGTTTTCAATAACCTCTGTCACTTTTCTTCGCTATCGGAAGCGAATTATAATGACGAGGAACTTGTTTAAATCATATCAAAGACGGAGCATATCGAGATGAAATACTACATTTGGTAATAAGGAATTATAAGCCAAATAAAATAAAACATCTGCGCTGAAGATAAGGATAGTGCTGACAAATCAACTTCGAATTCATTACGCGCCCGCCGCCGAGCAGCGTGAAAATGATAAACAGATTTCGGATTTCAAAACATACTTTCGCTTTAGATCCTTTACAATTAACAAATATATATCGGAAATTCTATTTGATTAATCGAAAGTTTAAGCTTTACTTTTATAAAATTGCTCTTACAGTCTGCAAAAAAATAATAAGCCGGATGCAATTCGAAATTAAGGAACAACGCAATCATCAACATTAACTGAAAGGATAATTATTTAGCTTATACGTCCATTATACATAAAATCGCACGCGAAAATGTATTATGCCACTGCGCACACTCATATGCGCAGTCGTTAAAAGGTCTTACGCGCACGAGTGAACTCCTCTGCGCATGTGTCAACGCAGCGCATGCGCAGAAAGTTTTTAGTTTTGATGTCCGGATTATAGATCATTCCGAATTATGGGTGTCCGAATTAACGACTTTTGACTGTATTATGTAAATTACCCAATTGTTTATGATTTCAGCCTTTACTATAATTTCCCATTTCTATTTCCTCATATGATAAAGTTACTGAGCCAGATTAAATTAAAATTAAATAGTATAATCTATGACCACTAGTCCACATTTTTAGTTTGAATTTGATTGTTCTTGTTTAATTATGTCACCGTGAGCTGTAGTGGACTTTGTTATCATCAGAGCATGCCTTTATGTTCTAAGTTCTTTTTAAATAAGAGGCTTATTTAAACCTTTAGCTGATATTGAAGTTATTTTCAGACATAGCAATAATATGCTTCACGTGTGTCAGGGGTTTTGGACTATTTAACTTTTACCAGATCAAGTAAACCCTCATAGGTACATCAAGGAGAGGTTGACAAGTTAGGAGATAAAGCACGCAGAAACTAGCAAGAGCATTAGTTTGTATATTGAAACAAATTCTTTATTGTTAGAAAGATGCTCAAAGAGAAGGAAATCGATATAAACTAGCAAAATGTTTGGGAAGGCTTCAAATTAAAGACGGTTAAATTTGTTGAATGTGTTGTTTACAAACGTAAATGTTTGAGCTTTTAATGTGTAATTTCCTAGAATCAATGTCATAAATTACATGTATTTAAACTGTGAAATTTTGTTAGATTTGGATTTTAATAGGGCTTTTTAAAAATATTGTTGAAAAATAAAATTTAATAGTAGCATGTAAATCCATAAGACTAAGGTTATCAAACTACCTAATTTAATTATTAATAACTTCTTGGCCTTAAAAATTTCTACATATTAAAGCAAGTTATTGCCTTTCATAAATACTCACTGTGGTCACAAGATAAAACACAAAAATGTAAAAATTCAAGTAAAACTTATTTTTTGCATCTAATGAAACTCAAAATCACTGGGATGCAACCCCTGGAACTCTACAGGAAGCTACAACACTAACTGCATCAAACAGAGCCCACTAAATTAGCATTGCAACCTACCTACATCAGGCCCTTCAGGTTTGTTGTGATCAGCAGGTCTCTCTCTAGACAAGAAGCAGTGGTGACAACATTTATTCTTTTTTTTTTTTTTTTTTTTTTTAATTAATGTGATTAGGTCTTACTTCTCATTTTAACCTATGTGTTGACATAAAATCATGCTATTTACTAACCTGTAGAGACCAGTATGTGCAAATTAGACATAAAAAAAAAAAACATAAAGCTACTGTTAGTAAAAACATAAATGTATTATCTCTTTTAAAATGACAACTATTATAAGTTTAAAAATTTAATGCACTTGATAAATTGCATAAAGTTTATTTTATTCACAAACTTATTAATTATTATGTTCATTAATTCATGGTTAGTAATAATGCATACTACTTAGGGATCTATTTTCTTTTTAGAATGGTATTACAAAAGAGAAATTTAGGCATAGATACTATTTTTAATTGAATTTATTCAGTTTCCATTTACTCATAGGTCCTTAATCCTTTTCATTAGTGGTCCTTAAAAGTACTTAATTTCCGTGTGCAGAAATGTATACGAACACTGGAGACGTATTTCAAATTGCATCAAAGTTCTTTCACAATCTAAACAACAGTAAAAAAAATAATGATATGATAAATGTATAGATGTATAAGTTAGAATAACATTTTACCATCTTTCAGAAATGTAATAAAAATGATTTCAGTGGAAAATAAGAAAGTGGTGTTGGTGATAATGTTAAACTGAGCTATAACTATTTTGGTAATGAGAGATTTTTGACTTTGTGGTGTAGGAGAAGTA